AAAAAAAAAAGAAAAACTGCAACAAGAAAAGCCCTAAATTTTGTTTTTAGTGGAAATTGTTAAAAGTTTTTTTTTTTTTTTTTTTTTTTTTTTTAATTTACCTTGGATCTGTGCTACAGGTTCCTTTCAGGCTTTTCCTTCGCCTGCAGTCAGATCCGAATGAATAAGAAATGTTGCATGTCTTTCATAACCGACAGCTACATGACACTGAATGTGTGAATTGGGTCTCTGAGACATTGTAGTACCAAAGAGAGATGTAGGTTTTATGACCAGGAAAATAAAATATTCACACTGATTTGTCTGGTTCCATTCATTAAAATGCATTTATTTCCATTTAGGTGGTATGATCATTTGGACAGCCAAAAAGAAAAATGTCTGTATAAATACTTTGTACATCACACAGACGACCGTTCTCTTTTTTGGTCCTCAATTTTGGATTATATGTATTTATACGTTTGCCTGACTGGAACCTGGATTATTGTTGGATTTTTAATTCGGGAAATATGAAGCCAGAGGAAAGAAAAATTCAGAACTGCTCTGCTGGTTGCATAAGAAAAACTTTTCCAATTAGCAGTTTTTACAGATATGGAATACAAGACACCACATCTGTGCATAACTCTGGTTATTCTCTTGAGTAGGTTACTATGTGAAACAATGTTGAGGTTTTTTTTTATTATTTAATACAGAATTGGGAACAAATCAAAATTTGTCACAAGTATCTCCTGTAACAAAACGTGAACTCTCTGCCTGTCCTAAAACGGACAGATGAGTTGAGAGCTCTGTTTTTTACTATACAAACCATAAAAATAAACTTACTTTTAATTTCTTGACCGCTGAAAGCCACTCCAGATGTCTAGTTTTATTTCTAGACTAGTTTTTGTCTGTTTTTCTTATAGACATTTAGATTATGGGAAATCTTGCATGAGTGCATTTTTTTGGATAGTTATTCAAGTTGAATTTAATTTAGCTCTGTTTAGTGGTGCCTGAATCCATTGATCAATAGCATGTTACAGTATTTACACACGCTTGATAAAAGCTGCGCTAACATTTGCTAGCTTTCCAGTGTGCTTTGTTTCCCTTCAAAGCTACGTTTCTCTCAGCTAAAAACTCAAAAAGAAAGACTTTCCCTAAGGTTTCATCTCAGCATTAAATAGGCAGTATACTGTAATTTTTATTTGGAGAAAAAAGCTTTTAAAATAATTTTAAATATGCAAACTTTGTACAATAATTTGCCCCACTATGTGAAAATGTGGATTTTTAAAAAAAACCTCTGATCTTAAGCTCAAGCACACCTTGACTATGCAGCAGGACAATAATCTTCTGAAGGACACCAACAGCTCGATCTGAGGAAACTGAAAGCTGGAGTGGACTAGTCAAAGTACTTCAAGCTGTCATTTTGGCAAAAAGGCTGTTCATGGAGGGGGGAGAGGGGGGACCCACTTGCACTGTGGATGAAGTAAAGAGTGGATCCAATTTCTTCCACAGTGACGCAAAAGATTCGCTGCTGTCGGTGCCAACGGCTGCACATCAGTTTTTACCTTGAGAACTACAAAGAAGCAAAATGAGACTAAATCCTTACTGGGGCAAACGCTACTTTCTCAGCACTGTAGCCGAGACTGTTATTGCTAATAATAAATAGCCCGTTTGTTGTGTTTATCAATTAGTAAATCCAACAGATGTTCAAACTTGGAACTGCTTTGCAGTTTGCTTTGTTGTCATTGCCAGATCCCAGTTTCAGAGGTAAATGGAGCCCAGAATACGCAGCTACCAGCTCTAGTTCTAGGTTACTGTCATCAGTTTAATTTTAATTGTGCTTTAGTGTTATGTATTTTTATTCAGCTCTGTGGTTCTAGTGTATTTTGTTTGATTTTAAAAACTCATATTTTCTATTCTGCTTGGGTTTTTATTGCTTTGGTGTTCTCATCAAGCCTTTTTTTTTTTTTTTTTTGGTGACAATTTCTCCTGTTGGCTCTTGTCTGATATATGTACATTTCTGTTTTTGTTTTTCCATGTTCCCTACATATCCTACCAGCCATTTCACACGTTTCCTCAGTTCAGCTGCAGTTATCTGCCTTCCCTCAAAGCTGCACCCAGTTTCTAATCTACAACCTGATCCTTGTTCAGTAATCGACTCTCTTTGCATCAACATCTTTCGTCCGGTCGGTTCTTCGTCAAACCGCCCCGTTACACCACCAGCCTCTCTTGTCCGTTATGTCTTAGTTTTTGTTTCTTTATTTTTAATTTTTTTTTATCTTCATGTTGCTTCCTTATATCTTGACTTCTGCACATTGTGGCACCGGGAAAAAAAAAAATTGCAAGAATTTTCCTTTTGTTTTGGTGGATTGGAGGTTATAAGTCACGAAAAAATGCAAAATGTAGAAAGGGATATCTATTTTTAAGACACCATACTCATCAAACAGACTAATATTTTTAGTGAAAGTGACACATAATCAATTAAAATATCGACAATAAAGGGGATACCTGCCTTTATTTAAGCAAAGGAGCTGAAAAAATACAAGTAAAGAAAATCTTGACATTTAAAATCCTCAATGAACATGCAGAAATCTTTGCTTTTCTCTTTGCTCTTCACAGATGCTGTTATTCTTTGTTGTTACATTTCTTTTCCTCTCTCTCTCTCTCTCTCTCAGATCTGCGGCGCCTGCCGCAGCAGCGGATGTCACGCGGACATTCGTACGAAGAGAGAACTTCGTGGAACCCGAAGTGCTCTGCGGTGGCCGACCGTCAGATGCTGCTTCTCGACGAACAGGAGGCGGTGAGAGCAGACAGCACAGCTTCTCATCTGTTGTGTCCCTCCGTGTCGGCTTTGTGTCTTCTTTTTTCTGGATGAATCTGATGTACTCCCGTACAATGGCACTTTCATCCTGCACCACTTTGAAATGAAGTTAGAACGCAGACCCAGAATCTCAATGAGAGTTTTGATTTTAAAAAAAAACAAACAAAAAAAACAATCTCAGTACTTGTGTGGGGGGGTGAAGAAAAATAAGCTTAAGCTCTATAGCATTGAAAGGTTTTGAGTTGAAGTTCAAGTGCTGTAACCAAAATGAAAGACTTTCCACAGCAAATTAGTTATATATATATACACAGAATCCTGTTGCACTTTTCATCATGTTATGATTTTGTCTGTCAGAAAGATCCTTTCAATAATCTGAAAAGCTTCAGAGCGAGCCGTTTTTGTTTTTTCTCTCAAGGACAGTTGGATTGTGAAAATCTGTGCAGTTCCTGCTTCTTTGTTTTTTGTTGTTTTTTAAGACAACCAAACAAAACGGCTGATATCCTAAAAAGAAAATAATCTCAGCACTCGCTAAATGAAAAGTAAATTATGCCAAATCATTCCTTGCATCAGTTTCTTATTTTGTATGCAAAAGTGATAAAAAATTATCCCCACAGCTTAACGGCTCCATTTTGTCTCTTATGTACAATCTGCCTCTACGTTTTCTGTTCTGTTGTATTTCTTGGTAGTTGGTAGCAGGTTTGGGCCAGCTGCCAGTGTGAAGGCATGGGATTGTTTTTGTAGTTTTAACACTATTAGTCTTTTAAAGGAGATGCCAGAGAAAGTGTTGAGGAGATCTGAGTATTTTTTGACCCGCAGAGTAGCGATGTAATGCCCTCTCCTGCCACTTGGTGCCGCATGCTGCCAGTCAGGTGGGTAGAAGAAGAAAGTCGCTGCTCCTGTCCCAAACTTACATGAAACACGAAATCAGCTATTTGACATCCGACGGATAAAAACAAGGATATCTAATGTGTCTTAATTAGATAAAATTGTTCTAAAACATTAGTTGGAACAACAGGGAGTTATCTCCCAACAGCTCCAACATTATCTGGCTAATATGAGCATGTCTTTTGTCTATTTAGCTACAAATAGCAGACCACACAGGGATCATTGTGATTAAAAATAAAAATTTTAATTCAACCAGAGGTTCACTGTTCGTAAATATTGGTGTGAGTGTGCGCATTATTTTACATTATTTTATTTCAGTTTGGTTTGCCATATCAATCTGCTCCGGTTCTGGTTTCACATCATTACACTGCGATGTTCCACGACCCTCTGATGTCTTATTCTCCGTCTTCAGCGACACTCTGAGGCGTTTGCTCTCCTGAAATTCTCATTCGCTTCTCTCCTTTCTTTAATTAATCTAGAGACGTTTTCATCTTCTCCACTTGTGGTCTGGAATCGTTCTACCGTCTCAATTATGAATCAGAATCAAGCTATCTCTAAAGACGAATGCCACTGTACAGGATCTGATATGTTTTTCTTTTTTCTTTTTTTTTTCCTCCCCTTCCTTCAATATTTCAAGCCTGGGAATGTAGGATGCTCCAACACTTCAGATAAATTATTACTCTGTCACCAAGTATAAAAAAAAATGAATAATGGATTAGAGGATGAATAATGGACTATAAAAATCTCATTATAATAAAGAAAAGCCACAAATTCTAATATCTGCATAGAGTTAGTGCTGATATAGCCGTAAAGCTCACTGAGCTTTGTAGTCCATATAGATGTAAGGCTTATTTATCCCCTTTTAATCTTTTTTTTCATATTTTGTTGTATTAGAAGCACAAAGTGTCCCTTGAGACACCTACGCATGGTTCACTTAAAGTTCATCCCCACTCCTACGCCCCCAAAAAATCTGAAGGAAAATTAAGCTTGTATTTCTATTTTTTATCTCCTGAATATCTAAAAATTGTGGTGTGCATTTGTATTTAGATGCTACTTTAAATGAACTCCCGTGAACCTCCCACAGAAGTCACCTAATGAGTAGATAAAAATCCTCCTGTGTGCAATTTAATTTCACTAGAAATGGAGACCTTTTGTGAAGGTTTCAGAGGGTTTTTTTTTTTTTAGAGAGCATCGGGGGACAAATAGCAAAAAAAAAAAAGACCAAAGCACAGCAGGAAAGGTCAGGGGAGAAAGTTGTGGAGGAGTTAAAGCAGAATGAAGTTATAAAAAACACAATATCCCAGAGTTTGAAAGTCTCATGGAGTGCCTTTGAATCCATCTTCCAAAAACTGAAACAGTATGGCACAACTGCGAACAAAAAGACCCCAAAATAAAAAAACAATGGATGCCCACCTGAACTAATAAGGCAAGCAAGGAGAGTCAACTGGCCTGTTAAACTGTTAGTGGTGCACAGGACAAATCTTCTAGGAAAAAAAAAATGGCATTGTTAAAAGATAACGCACATAAGTTCAGTTTAAAGTTTTCCACAAGTCATGTAGACGTGGGACGTTCTCTGCTCTGAGGACACCAAAACTAAAGAGAACCACATGAGGAACGCTATGAATGGTGGAAAGCTAACATGCTAAGGCTATGCCTACACAATATGCAAGTTAGACCCAAACACGCTAGTTTCCATGTGATGTGTAATGTTTCAATTGTTGACTGTGTTCTATGACTTTGTGTTTTAATGACATGAAGCACTTTGAAATGCCTTGTTGCATACAAATGACATTTGATTTGATGTACATCCATCTTTTTCCAGCCTAAACAACCCAATTCTTCCTTTTAACCCCCAACAAAATCCAGTCGTGCTGCTAATTCGGAGATGCGTCCGATTGTTTTCAAAGCGTCTTTTCAGAAATTGCAGTCAATACTCCACAAAAAGGGCATTGCTTCTTTTGATTAGCTTCCTTCAAGTTGCTATGATCTTGTGACGACGCCGTTGGATGAACTTTAGGATTGATCCACAAATCTATCATTACTTGTGCTGCTTTGCGACGCCGACACTCTTCTTCTGTGCATGTGGGTCACACAGAAGTTCTCACGGCTGTCGGGTTTAATCGGTAGCATGAAAAATTAGTAGCAAAGAAAAAAAAAATCCGAATTGAACATCAAGACCTGCTGTGCGAACGTAGTCTCAAGCCTAACACACTTTGAAAACGATCACAAATTCTCTCCATTCAATTAGATGGAGCTAGAGCTGAGGTTTTTTTTTGTTTTTTATGGTGACGCCGCAGTCTGCTTCTGTGAGTTGTAGATCATTTAGACATCTAAGCAAAGAAACTTCGGAGAAACAATACAGGCACCTTTAGTCTCCCCGATGCACAAAGAGACTCGCAGAGAGGATGAGACGGAGACGACGACCCAGCAGTCGTATCGGAGGATGTGAGAAAACGAGGCGGACAGGGCGCCGCGATGAGCCTGGAGGTGTGAGCGTGTTCGATAAGCCATTATCGCCACGAGAGGAGGACACCAGGCCTCTGTTTCATCACAGCCCTTCTTTTCCCCTTTGTGTTTTCAATCATCGTTCGGAGCCAAACGTCGTCAACGTGAGCTACGGGAAGAGAAACGTCTGACACAGATTGATGCGCTGCTTAGTGTCTGCTCTACTCAGAACAACAGACACTCATTCATCAGGGTTACGACAGCCATTGTGAGGCGTCGACCCAATACGGCGCCCAGCACAGTGATTAGAATTGCAACAGCGATAAGACCCTTAGCAACTGTTGTTTGTTACAATGTAGGACTTGTTATCTTTGGTGGTACTAATGTCAATTTTGTGATATTGTTTTATCTGTCTTAAGATGACTGATGGTGTGTTGTTTTTTGTTGTTTTTTTTTGCAGGGGAGGCGCATTGCGTCAGCCAGGGCCCATCTCCTGCGACGCACCATCAGCGTTCCTGTGGAAACTCAGTTTCCAGAGTTCCACAGCCAGCTTTCCACAGAGAGCGGTAAGCAGCCCAAAGCTCCCCGCTGCTAACGCCGAGCTCTCTCAAGTTTTTTTTTTCTTTCTTTCATTTTTTTCTGTTTTTTTTCTGGAAAGAATTTCACTGGCTTCACAGGCAATTTCATCTGCGAGCGTCAGCAAAGATGTTTGATTCACTGAAATCTGACTTTTTCATGCATTTGAGTCAGACTCGAATGGAGTGGAGGGGCGGTCCTCCAGAGAAGGACGGCCGATTCGTTGCCCAGCTCAACGAGGGGATTTGTGTCGTGTTTTGTTTCTACCGCTTATCCACTAGATGGAGAGCTTGCTGCTTCTCGCTGCTGCTCTGCACTCATCACACTTCAACACTCAGAAATAGGTGTAAAAGTTTTTTTGTTGGCATGCAGTCTTTAGGCTTAAGTGTGTAAACTTGATCCAAATAGAGAATCTTAATTAAAGATCAGGGTTGACAATCAACACATAAAGTCAGATTTGGAAAGGAGGTGGTGCTAATTGGCAGGTGTTTTGGTAGTCAGGTGTTTTTTTTTTGGTTTTTGTTTTTTTGCTCTGTATCTCGGCCCCTATATAGTTAACTTGCTAAATTATATAATCAGCTGATTTATGGACAAATATCGGATGGAACTGTTTGCTATAATAAGCAGCACCTTTACATTTGTGGCCCGTAAAGGACAAGAACCACATCACAATTTTAAAACTGGGCTAAAGTTTTGTGTCTGTGTGACTCAATACGCAAACTCTTAATTAATATTAGAAATTATGCAAGTGAAGTAAATAGAAAGTAAATACATGTAAAAAAAAATAGCTGGTTTACAGTTAAGTGGAAGGAAAAAGTATAGAAGAAAAAGGTGTAATTTGTGTTATAGATAATATCCTGTATTGATCCTTCTTTCCGTCTGATGTTGCATTTAAGGTTGAGATATATTTTTGGTCCGTCCATTTACGACCACAGAATGCTTCCACCAGGATAACACATCACGCCAGAAGGCTCATCATTTTCTGCATTTATTTTGTCCAAAATGGCAATGAATTCAGTATACACCCATGACTTCCACAATAACCAGATATTAATACACCGAGCACTTTTGGTGTGTAGATATTTAGCAGACAAATTTGTTTCTACTGTTGGACACTGTCATGACGTAATGGAACAACTTGGTTCAATTATGGTGTACCTAATATAGTGGCCAATGAAGGCACGTTGCGGAAGGGTTGAATGGTGTCTATTTTTATATATCCTGAAATTACAATAATATTATCTACAACTTGCAAGTAACTTTTCAGTAAGATACAGCAGCTTGTTTTACCTCAATAATTTCTTAATATTGATGAAAAAGTTCCAGTTCCATCGGAAAATTATTTCACTTTAGAACACGGGAAAAATGTCTTGTTATAAGTAAAACAATCTGCCAATGGAACTAGAACTTTTTCATCAATATTAAGGATTTATTGACTGAAAACAAGCTCCTGTGTCTTTCTGAAAATGACTTTGGTTTGTTTTTCTTATTTCTGGTGTTCTCAGATATTTGGACTAGAATCTAGACCAGAAATACTTGGTATGATTTTGTGTTTTTGCAGTGATCTCTCACAGCTTTTGCACCTTTTATAAAATTAAGATTCATCTGAACCTAAATCTGCCCGGGTTATGACTATTTTTGGGGCTTTACTGCATATATAACTCGTCTGTCTTAAGCATCTCAACTGTTGTGTTTATGCGTGCGTTTGCAAAACCATAAACAATATTTGTAATGTAGTCGGCGTGCGTCCCACCTGCTCCGTTCAAAACCAGCAGCGCAAAGAAAGGAAAACTACACATCCATGAAAAGGTTCCAAACAAATTAGAGCGCGCTTTCATCTCGTTTGATCTCCAGGCTGAATTCTGAGCACCTGTCGCCTCCGTTCTTTTGAACTCGTCAAGGTTTTGACGAGAACACGCATTCGTTTTAGTCAAATAAGAGAGCGCTAAATATTTGTGACAACTTGTTTTATTGGTCACACGTTGCACCTCTTTCCCGGTTTTTTTAATTTGCGGTGAGCTGTCGTGGTTTATAAAGGATTAAACGGAGATATGCTTTTAAAGGATTTCGTCTTGCAACCCAAATGCTTCCTCTCGTGTGTCTTTAATTCCTGCTTGTAATCCTTCTCCCAGAGCGCAAAATGACTGTTAGCTCTGAAAAAGGGTGGCATACGAGGATGTGAAAATGTATAGTCCAGCTTAATGTTACCGGTGCTATAATAAAGAATAGCATTTAAACTTGCACCGGTTTGAAAATTTGAAAAGTCCCTAAAGATTTTGTCATTTAATTTGATTTTGAGTGTTGAGTGATGCACCAGTGGAAAACCTGAAGCTACAATCAAACTATGCTAGCATGTTTTTTTGCAGCTTACGAGTCTGGTAACATATTGAAAAATGTTCTGAAATGATTTAAAATCACCATATAAAATATTGTTTATGACTGGAGGAATAATTAAAACAGCTCCCAACATGTCAAGTTCTTACCGTCAAAACAAGTTCACCATGAAATCAGACCGCAAGATGCAGAAATCACCAATAAATCCATCAAGGACAAAGAACGTCTGGAATTAGCAAATCATATTATGAAAGAATATGGTGTTCTCTTTCCCCATGGCCATCTGAGTCCTTGGATTTGAATGAACCGACAACTTCAAGAGACGTGTGCCTTAAGAAAACCCAGTTTTGGCTTCATCCACATGTTTGTTGTGTTTCCTACGTAAACTGCTAACAGCACTTCCAGTGGTGCTTAAAGGAACAATATGACATATTTTCCAAGCACATGGTGCCATTTCATAGCACAGTCAAGTAACTGTTACCATCAGTTGTTAACAAAAGCTCTTTATATCAAATATAACTTAAAAGAAATGTGATTTTGTAATTTTACACATTCACTGTGGCCCAAACAGCGAAATTGGACCACTGTTTCTTTAAAAACGCCTGCTCTTTCTTAAATTTTGCCTTCAGGAAGTCATCACATCGCTCCTTGATAAAGTTTTCACCGGCTTTGCACTGAGAAGTAGCTCCTATAATGAGCTCAGCAGATGCACAGTTCCACCAGGTGTTTGCTAATTGCTGCTGGCTAGTCTGAAGGAGCCGAGTGGGGGAGTCGCTGTGGCAGCGCTGCTCTGTGAGTCGGAGGCCTGGAAACCGCAGCTCCGAGGAGGAGCCATGTCTCGGAGGCGGGGCTAGGTCCACCCAGGCGTTTCGCACAGCTGAACGGTTGCCATGGGAGACTAAAAGCTTTCTCAAACGGGCATGTAATAGTCAAAGGAATGTTTCCGATGCCGTGATGTAAAGCTCAAATTCGATTTTACGCGATACTACCTCTTTAAGGGCTGTGGAAACTACACTGAAATCTCCCTATTTTTTCAAAAAGAAAGTGGAAAAGTCTGATCGAAGAGGCGACATTTAGCGCAGCCGCAATTCCCTCCACCCAGATTTCTCTCACTCCATGTGGAAACTGCCCCTCAGTCTCCTCCCTCCTGCTCCAGGCTCTGCTATGCTCTCGCCGCCTGGCTCGCCACAGAGGGGCTCAGTCAGACAGATGTAACACAGCAGCAGAAGCTGGAGCCGAGCTGAGCTGGCAGGCGGCGGGGGCCCAGACCAGAGCCAATAGCTCTTACTGGAAAACCGCAACGGGACTAAAGTCGGCAGCGGAAGGACGACACATCATCCTACCTGCACCGGTTGAAGATCAGTTGGCGAGAACTTCTTTTTTTGTTTTGTTTTGTTTTTTGTTGTGTCTCGGTCAGGATGTGGGAATGTTGATCTGGGCGCTCACCATCACCCTGCGAATTCACCATGGAGCCTGACACGAGCACCAATCAAGAAGCACTAAATGGTAAGAGAGGATAAGAAAGAGAAGATGAGAACACTTGAAAGAGAAATGAAAAAGTTTTTGAGCGTGAGAGGTAGTTAGTTGGGTCATGTGTTTTTCCAATTAGCCTGTTTTTATTGCCAGGCTGTTGACTTGGCCCTCTGTGGTCATCATGAATAGGACTTTAGTCTGGTCTATTGATTGAGAGCTGGGGGGGAGGCGAGGAGGTTAAAAGGTTACATGACAATACGATGAAATCACGGCGAAAGCATTCAACTTCAGCGGTCGTCTCCTCCGTGTCGTTTTGCAGTTCGAAAGTGCAGAAGTGTGAGAAAAGTGCGTGTGGGATTGGGAAGCTCTCTGGTTTCTGTTTGCGCTCGAGCCGTTCCCGGTATGAGCCTCGTAAAAACTGGAAGCGCTCCTCTCCGCGCTCGACCAGAATAATTAGCATATGCGAGGGGCCGTGGGTGTGGGATTCCCGCTCCAACGCGGCACGATAATTTGGCGGTCGTGCGAATCCGTACGCTCGCGGTCACCGCGGCGTCGGAAGTACGTGGGTGTTTGTGTACTTCGAGAAAACCCAAGAGCAGCACGAAAGAATGAAAAGTGGGATTTGGATGAAGTGGGGAGGGGAGATAGAAGGACACACAGAGTGAGAGAGAGAGAGAGAGAGAGAGAGTTATGTACACAAATAAATCCAGGGGGATCTGGACTCCGCTGTTAGCCGGTCACTCTTTCTCCCTTCTCGTCTTCCACCTCTGGTTCCACCAAGTGTTAGCGCCTAAACTTGATGGTTAAGACGCTGAAAGAAAAAAAGAAGGAGAAGAAGAAAAAAAGACACTTATTAACTTGGGCCAGAGAAGATGTTTTGCCTCCATGGCCGACGGGAAGGACTCTGCTGTGCTGCTGATGAAGAATGCGGTTTAGAGAATGAGTCAACAGAGAGCATATTTCCAGGAGGCCATAGTTTCTCTCTGCCAGCGTCTAAGCCACATTGTTTTATGTGCTGGGCCGTCTGCCATGGCAGAGAAGAAGTCCCAGAGAAAAGAGGGAGGTGGGATGGCTGCAGAATAACGGGGTTTTATCCGTCCTTTGAGATAAGAGACTTCTCCAAACAGTCAAAGTCAGATAAGGAAGAACCCGCTTTTCCACACCTGTGTGCATCAAGGATCCCTGAAAGAAAATGACACGCGTCTAATTCCTATCATTTGGACATGAGATTTTGGGTTTAATGTAATAGACCTGCACAAAGAAACTGAAAAGCTGGGCAAGGGAGAATGTGGTGGTGGCTGCATCATGCTGCGGGGATGGCGTACTTCATCCGGGACAGTCGGAATGTGGATGGAGGTAAACTTGCAGCAATCTTGGAAAAGAAAATGGGGCAATGATTGCAATCATACAGGAGGTGGAAATGATCGTCAGAGTTACGTCAGAGTGATCTTGTTAAAAGTCGAGACTAAATCCAGTTAGGATGCGGGGGGG